TATAAAAGTGAAGCTGGTAGAGGAGGCAGCCACTGTCACTGCATGGATCCCCTTCAGTTCACTTTCTGCACAGTTACTGGGACTTTTAAACTTTGGATTTTCTCTCGTTGTTGAGTTATAGACAAGTAGCTCATTCTTTTCTTTGCTCTTTGCGTCACCTTGTCTTGGGTTAATAATTTTCGGTTCCTCTTGCTTTTATTTTTCCGAATTTATTTTTCGCGGTTGTTGGAAATGTTGGGGAATCTGTGGATGCTCTGCCTGTGTCTGTGCTTCTCCTGGGCCGAAGCTCGTATATGGGCCTGGATGCTCAACATGCCTCACAGCCCTCCCAAGGAAGGAGCAAAGGCACTTAGAGAAGGAACTCCTGTCGCTAAAGCAGCCACGGTAAGATACCTTTTATAACCGCTTATTTAATCCTCAGAGAGTATGTCTTAAAATATTTCCTCTTAAGCTTATTTGTGTTTAGAGAAAATATCTTGGCTTGAATCAGTGTCACTTTTCCCAACTCAAATGAAAAATGTTTATGCTTTGTACAAGCACAAGGCAGTTTAGTCTTTACATTAACCCGTGTGCACGATTTTTAGGAAACTGCAGGACTTGAACTTGGGCCATCTTTTTAAAATCTTCATAAAGATTAACATATCTCCCTGTTTTTCTCCAGGCTGTGTGCGAACATGACAGGGCCTGTGGGCGGGGTTTTTCCTGTGATCGTCACTTTGGTCTGTGTGTCCCCCTACGAGGGGAGGGTCTCTACTGTCGGAGGGATGCCCAGTGTGTCCGTGGCCTCAGCTGCATGTTTGGGAAATGCCACCGCAACATCCCCAATGGACAAGAGGGTAAGACTGCACTGATTAATGCATTTATTTGAGGCTTGTGTAAAACACCGGTCTCTCTTTAAATCAGTTTGCATCAGTTTGCAGATAAAAGATGATCTGACCTTAACTAACCGGTATCCCCTTCATCCAGGTGCCAGATGTAAAGTCGACAGGGATTGTGGGGCATCCATGTGTTGCGCCCGACACCACGGCGAGCAGGTGTGCAAGAGTCGTCTGATTCGTGGTGAGAGCTGCTATGTGCCCGATGGCGGCCTGGCGTTCAGCATAAACCAGATTTGTCCATGTGATGAGGGGCTGCTGTGTCGTGAAAAAAGTGCACCTCACAGGAGAGAGTAAGTACAAGAAACAAACACAGCTGCCTCTGTGGCTGCTTATCCCATGATAAGATAGAGATAGTTTTCACATGAAGTTAGTTGATATACTGTTAGCTGAGCACCTACAGGTCCTGCAGTATTGTCTAATCTTTTGGCCCCGTGCCAAAAAGTAACTAATCTGTCAGTTTACATTGTACTTACAAAGTTAAAGGGAGTCAAGTGTGAATAAAAGGTGTTGGTCGAATATTACATGTTTATATTTGATCAGATTTCCTCAAACTAACTGATACACAGGGTACTTGCTGGGAGGTGGCAGGTTACAAACACAAAGGTTAACTACAGGTTAATGTGATTATGCCACCAGCATGATAAATGCATAGGAAGGAGGAAGAATTTCCATTATTGTTATTGACTGATGTTTTTGTTATAGTAGTAAATATATTACAGTTGTAATTTATATGTTTGTATAATGTTATGTTTGATTAAGCATTTTCAGTATTTGTTACTTTTAATGAAAAATCACATGATCTTAACTTAAGCTTCTTTGTCTTTCAGGAGAGATTTTATTTATCAGCCGGAACGAAAAAGTTGGACATGTCAGGTGCCCAAAGCCTGATGCCGGCCTCAATACTAAAACTATTTATTATGTAAATATGTTGTATATGATTGTATATAAAGAAATGTATGTATTTTCAAATGTGTTCTTAAAGCAAGGATGTTTTTGTATTATTTCGTTCTGTAAATTTTGACAAAAGCACTACTGTATGTAGCTGAGCTCAACAAAGCCGCAGTGTCTTCTACAGTATCTTCCTCATGTGCATTCAGTGATCCGTATGAATGTTGATCCCTCTTCGGTTTAAAGAATAAAAATAACTTTTCCAAAAGCAATGAGTCTATAATTGGTTTTACACAACATTTACTGCAATAATGTCATTTAGGATAATTCCCAATCAATAATAAATACACATAAGCTCTCTCTTTGTGATGAATCTACAGGGGTGGTTGCAAAGGTTTGTAATATTTATACAAACAATAAAACCCAAATGTAAAGAATTTTGTTCAAACATGTTTTTGTTGCAATGTTGCTTCAGTGACTATTGCTTCCCTTATACAGATGATGATGCTGTACATGAAATATAACAAAAAATAAGTGTATAAGAGTATCAGGGCCACACTGTTGGGGATAAACATTTCAAGAATAAAACTGTGTTTCTATATATTTCTTAGAAAGATTATAATGTTATGAGAAAAAAGTCTGGATTTTGAAGAAAGAAAATATAATATTTCACAAAGTCATGATTTTACAAGAATAACGCTAAAGTATTAAAATTTACAGTGAAGCAACAGAAAAAGAAAAAACAATGAAGCACAATGATTTGAGAATGTTTTATAGCTACTTTCATCTGTTTTATAGCACTAAAGTGACTCAAGCCTCTGTTATTTAGCTTTTCTGTTTAGATGGAATAAATGTTTCATACTCAGAAGTTAGATCTTGGGTGCAGTATTTCTTTAAAGCTCCAGGTGGACGATACAGACACATGAACTCGGTCCCCCTCTGAGAATGTTTTCTTGGATCGCAGGCCTTCATTATATAACAAGGTGGAATCTTGTGGCTCCTGATTGTTAGCATCACCAGATGCTGTAACGCTACCTGTCCCCTGACCCCTTCTTAGATCGGTATCTTCCTCGGACTACAACTCGCGAATTCCCCCGTCAATCCATTCAGATGCTAATCGTCTGCAGTTTGCCTCTTCAATTGCTGGGTGCCATGAATTGTTCTGTGAAGGACATTAGTGTCTAACCTCTGTGCTATCGTTTTACAGCTCTTATCATTAAGTCTTTGCAAGGAGGTATTTGATGCTGTGAACTTAATGTTAATGACAAGAAAGAGCAGAAACTTTATTGGTGCATTGGTGACCAAATCTAACATGGATGTGCCTTTCCCTTGAGCCAATTTTACCAGAGCCTTTAAATTGGATTTAACTGAAAAAAAATATGCCAAGCTCAATCATCACATCAGAAATAAACTCAAGCTACTAAGGCTTTTAGACAGAATGATATAAACCAATAAAAATGACGTAAACATGCCACTGAGTACACGTTTCATACACATAAGAAAAGCTGACAAGTCAAAAGTGATATCTAATAGCACAAGACCGTGAGAAACCTTATATTACCGAATGCTGCAAAACAGAGTCCTATCATCTCTGCTCAAGAACACTAGTTACTAGTGTATACTTGCTCTTATCTGAGCTAGCATCACATTTTGAAGGTATCCATACATGTCTGTTTGCACTATTTAGCTTCCTAAATGGTTTTCTGTTCTTGAGCGTTTTTGGCCAAGAGGACAAAGAGAAACAGGGCCGTCTGTTTCTCTGTTTACCTCAGGCTCTGTCCTCAGAAGTTGGACGTGACCTTAAAGATAAAGATAGAGATGTTGTAACACATTTACATGTGTCTCTTGTAAAAGCGATGTATCGTGAGAGATTCATTGGCTTAAAGAATAGTTTGACATTTTGGGAAATATTCGCTTTGGGGCAGAGTGTTAGATGAAAAGATTGGTACCACTTTCATATCTTTCTGTTAAATATAACGGATAAGGCTACAGCCAGGAGCTGGCTAGCTTAGCTTAGCATAATGACTGGAAATGGGGAAAGAGCTAGGCTGGCTCTGTCCAAAGGTTAAAAAAAAAAGCTCACAAATTAACACATTGTATCTTGTTCGTTTAATTCATACAGTGGAAAATCAACAATTTGCTGGTTCACACAAGGTTATGTGGCAGATAGTCTTGCACATAACCCCTGTAAAACAGTGAATTGTCATTTCTACACTTTAGGTTTTTGTTATGGATTAAGCAAACAAGATTTAATGTATGTTAATTAGCTTTAGAGGGCCTGGTGGGTGGTTTTTGTTAAATTTAGACAGAGCCAGGCTAGCTGTTTCCCCCTGTATCCAGTCTTAATACTAAGCTAAGCTATCCTGATATGAAAGTGATACTGATTTTCTCATCAACTCTCTACCAGAAAGTGAATAAACATATTTCCCAAAATGTCAAATCTCTGCTTTGAATAAAGGATATAAGGAATCATGGATAAAAATCTACCAATTCCTGCAGTTTTTTTTTACTCTGTTAAGGGATTAAATAAATACATACAATTTAAAAAAATGGGAGACATTTGTTAATTCTAATAAGATATAAATTGTAATGGGATAAAAAGAGGCTACAACTCTATTTGAATAGTCTTTTTCACAGCTTTGTTGGCAAAGCTAGTAATGATACACAATGCGAGTCTGTGAGCTCCGTATTGATCTTAAAGTTGTGAAAACTTCTGTCTTGTCTTCCTCTGCCATTGTGATGCTGCTAATGAAATGCATTCCTTGCCTACCTACAAGTCATAACTGTGTGGTATTCACTGCATAAAATTGGCAATTTTCTGTATGCACATCTCTAGAAAAAGGTGACTTAAGCACCCCAAGTGCTAATCCTGTGAGACACTGGTCATTTGAAAGTCAATGTCTGAGCAGCACAGAGAGCTTTTGTGAGCAGCCCCACAATAGAGCTCTTAAACCAGTCCAGCCAGGGGGGAGAAGTGGAGATGGGAGAATGGGGGAGAGTTGATTACCCTTACCTGTGACAGTATAAAATGCCTCCTCAAGTTGTCAGCATGTGAGTGGTAGAGTCACTGGTGCTGGTGACCTGTCGAAGAGCCATGTGGATCCTCTGACATCAGACTAGACCAAAGTGTTTTTTCCTCACAGGTGAGTTTTTTTTGATAGATTTACATCATTATACATTATCCTTAAATATTCTGTCATTGCTAATTCTTTAATCTCTCTGCAGCATCACACTATGGACTTTCTTTGTGCACTATTAGTGCTGTTGCCTGTTGCATGGACCTGCTCTCCCCAAAAAGCAGGTAACAACTCTGTGGCACAAAGATTAGTAGGTGCTTCATACGTTTGAATCATCAAAAAACACTGGATGTCCAACAGATTTCACACATTCCAAGTAATTATTTGTCAGGTTTATTGAGAGTTTTACTGGTGCAAGATTTCATCAAACTCATTGAACATTATCTTGATTCAGATAAGAAAAAACTCCACACAAAAATTATATAAACATTAGCAGAAGCAGTAGAAGTGCAATATGGAGAAACAGAATGACAATATTAAGTAAATCAAGTACTAATACTTGAGGACTATTAATAAGTGTAATAAGCTAAGTAAATAATTTCCAAAGTCTCTATATCTCTATATTTTCGTCTTTTTTCAGACTATGTTATGGTGTCATGTTTCCCCAACGCTATCATTGCCAATGTCCCAGAGTGTCCTTACGGCTGGGAGATCGATCAGTTATCCCTGGGTGGTGTCTGTTACTCTGGAATTCACAGCCCGGGCTACTACCGCTTCATCATCCCAGACCTAACACCTAAAAACCACTCGTACTGCGGCACACAGTCTGAGGTGACACACCAACCACTATAAATTCCATTTACCTCCATTATATTAAGACGCAGATCTCACAGGCTGACATCTCAAAAGTAAAACTGAGGGTATCTGCATGGCTGGATAAACGGTTGAACGGACCCTTTTATTATTAGAAAATGATTGAAAGCAAAAGTCCATGTTATTCGTATTCCTTCTGATGTTGATATCTATTGTTCCCTATAGTACATGCCCGGCAAAGACCCAAAGTACATCTTCTATAACTCCATCGTGTCCAACGATACTTCGCTCACAGTCAGAAACCAGCCGGTCAACTACACCTTCAGCTGCATGTACCGAGCAGCCTACCTGGTAAACAATGCAGTCTTCAGCCAAAGGTAAGCATCAGTCCAGGACGTGAAGCGACTGCAGTCACCGTGTGGATGACATGTGCATTCTAACCCAATGACTTGCAGCGCTTTTACTAAACCCTCTGCTTTTTCCAGAGTGGCTACAGTTTATGTCAACAACGGGAGTTTAGGCACTTTTAGGTCACAGTTGTCTATGAACGTGTTCACGGTGAGTAGCTGCTCAAAGATTCACTTTCTCCAGTGGAAGGCTTTTTTCGACATGTATAATGTAATGATGCTATTTTTAGATGTGTTGTATAGCAAATGCTGTGCAGAATAGCTGTCTGGAAAAATGAAGGTATAATTAACAGGTATTTGGTGTATGAGTACAACCCCTTATGGTCATGAGATGCACAGTCAGATGAGGAAAAACAAAAAATGAATATATTTTCTAGAATTCAAAGTTCCTGTATGCCAAGGATGCTCCCTATGTGATCGACACGTCTGAGATTGGCTCTGAAGTTTTTATTGGGATCGAGGCAAAAGGACTTAGTAACAGGTATATTAGATCATTTCAAATAATATCAAAATTCTGAATTCATAAATTCAGAATTTTGAAGGTTAGATATCCTCAAATTTCTAATCAAAGTTCATCATTTACCTTTCAGATTCAAAGTTGTAATAAACAACTGCTGGGCCACTCCTACTCCTTACTCAACAGACAGGAAGAGGTGGAGTCTCATCATTAACAGGTAGTTAAATAAAAGGATGAATTAAATTGAATTTAAAGACAGTTTAGATATGTCGTATTATATTCCACTTTTTTATTGTAATTGTTGATATAATTACCGTTTTCCAACAGCTGCTCCTCCGACAACACTGTGACTATTTTTGAAAATGCCAAAGACAGCCGCTCCATGTTCAAGTTCAACTCATTCCGCTTCCAAAGGCTGGAGAAGGTGTCCACTGTCTGGCTCCACTGTGAGGTCCAGGTTTGTGATGGAGAGAGGCTTGTCTGTCAGCCAGTGAGTACAAAACCTTAAAACATTAAAGCACTGAAAAATGTCCCCATTTACTTATTCTTCTTTTCCAATAAGCCTTTTTCACAGCAGACATTTTTGACTTGTCATAGTGGGAGAGGCACAGGTGGTACTAATAACATTAACAATAGCTCTGTTCTGTTGTCATGATAGCGAGAGTGCGTGTTCAGCACCAGGAGCCTGAAACCAAAGCAGCTAAATGAAATTCACCCGTCATTGATTTTATTATTTACACCAATGTTTTTCCTGCTCTGACGTCAGAATGTCTTCCATTTAAATGCCTTCACTTCACTAAGGGAGGTGATGATAGTGCTAGTAAAGCCCTTCCCAAAACTGTTACACAATAAACATGAAGCTGATTACAGGGACAAATAAACCAAATAGAAAATTCCGTATGTTGAATACGTTTTTAGTTCTATTTTACAACATGTCATGGTCTGTATCCAGACACAAGAGGCCACATTTCTTTTGTTGTTACTTTTGTCTTTGTTTGCTTCCTGCAGGGCCCCTGCTCTGTGAGAAGTCTATTGTCGGAGGCAGATCCAAGTGGGGGGATCCTCACTACTGAGTTTCACATTAAAGGTACAGTCCAACATGTTGCCTATACATACTGTGATAAAGGCTAAACAAATAGATAAATGAGCCATTGTCAGCTCACTTATTTCAAATTAAGATGCACCAAAAGCCAACTAATGTGTAGTGTGATGTACAGTATTGTTTTTGTGTCTTGACAGGTAATGGATCTTCCAATAATGGGCACATAACAGGTAAAAACATGTGATGTAGTAACTGTGATAAAAATGTATTTGAACTCTAACTCCAAGTCCCCCCATGACCGACATTTCATTCATTCAGATATTGCTCAGTTCAGCTGTCCCATGTATTTTCTGTAGAACTCTGGTGTGTCTGGTGGGGGACTTTGTTTTTGAATTCTTTGGCTTAAAGATTAATGAATTTAAATATATAGAGTCTAGCTAGACTCTCTCTGTCTCTCTATATATATAGAGTCTAACACTCAAATCAGACTGTAAAATTTCTTAAATTGCAGAATGCAGTTTGCAAAAACCTTTAGATCCCTAGAACAATGTTGATGACATTACGTCAGTGGCTATGGCTCAGATGATGTTTTTGAACACAGTTTCTCCTTCACTGCTGTTTGCTCCACTGTATTTTGCTTTTTCTTTTCCTCACAGGCGCCTCACTGTTCATCCTGCTGGTCCTCGTGATAAACACATGTTGTGATTTAGTAAATGGATCAAGAATGTAGTAAATATTTCATTTTCATTCACACAACATTCATTTACATAAACTAAACGCACACACACTGAGGGGAGTGTCACCCAGGACTCAGGGAGTGTATGGTTACAGTCCCCCCCCCCACACACACAGAAATGAATGTTTGTCTCATTTTCTCAGATATTATTTGTAATTAGCACATTTATTCACACTGTGGATAACCTTTTTTAAGTTACATACATTATTTCACTGCTTCCGCCAATAAATATGAATTGAAAATTAAAACAACACATCCATTGTGTGATCCCTTTTGTTTAAAATTATACATAAAGTCATAGTTAGTCTCTTGTCCACTAAGAACGGTTTACAATAAGCATATCTCTCACACTGAGACACTATGCAACCTTTATGAGTTATTACAAAATCCACTTAACAATGATTCAGCAATTTCACAGATACATTCCAGTTAATTCTACCACACTTGCAATGTTTGAAAACAAATAAACAATTTTATTCCGTTCAGAAATTAAAACCAAAGTCTCAACATAACAGCAACACAATAAAAATTTAAACATTTTATAAATACCATTGATACAAATTCAAAAAGTATCTTTAGCCTCCTGTATCAAGAGTCTGAAAGCACAAGTGTTGTAATCCAGGCTATAATTGCTTCTCATGACGTCAATGTTTTGTGTTTTAACTCCAATCTTCTTCCTCTTTTTGTCGCCAGTCCTCTTCTTAAGTGGAGGAAATAAACTTGTTTTGCATGGCCTTCTGTGAGACCATGAATTGTCATTTCCATATATTCCCACTTATTTATCCAATACATGGTCAGAATATCCACTTGTTCTTTAAATTTGCACTACAGGAATCAGGGCCTCTGTCATGTGACCTTTGGTCAGGGTTTTCTGGGCCTTTCTCTCAGCAGCTCTGGCCACTACTGGTTTCTTGAACAGAGATAACAGGTCAAAAATAACAGGTCAAAAAACGGTTTACATACAATACTACAGTATATACAGCATACTGACTGTGATACAAAGTTCTTGACTTGTCTGTGCTGCCTGATTAACAAAACAGGGACTGTCATGTATGTTTTATTTCTGACTGTACCTCTGTTTGTAGTTTGAGACTGTCAGTAGGTGGAGAACTGTGAGCCATAAGTGGAGGATTAAATAAATGTTTGCTCAGCAACCAGTAGGTCTTATGAGACCCTTTACCCTGTCATGGACACAAACACACTGGTCAAAAACATGTCAAACATAGGCTGTACATCTTATTGAAAAACACACAGATTTTTTACTGTAAGTCACCTTCATTTCAATTTCTCCTCTTTCCTCCAGCTCAAAAGATCCAGCCCGGACAAGAATGTCTGCAGTGCATTGAGATATGTGAATCTTCAGGGCTGTGTAAAACATACATTAGTGTTAAAGCTTTAAACACATAGGACAGTTGAAAAATGTCATAAACCTTGAATATGTGTAGCAAATTTATGGCAATCTATCCAACAGTTATTGATATATGTCTCTCTGGACCAAAATGGTGGACCGACCGTCCATTTAACAAATGCACCATCACTTCTCTAGGATTCATTCATTCAATACACTCCCACTTACACTCATAATGAAACTATATTTATTTAAAGTCTTATGCGGAGGGTTTAAAAAATGAAATTATAACGCTGATGGTCTCAGAATAAATACAGCAAAGCTTCAGTTCACTCACGTAGGCTGTTACTTTCCATCCGAGAAGCCATGTTCACTGTGTCTCCAAACAGACAGTAGCGAGGCATAGTGGTGCCAACCACTCCAGCAACCACTGGCCCTACAAAACCCAAACAAACTGTCTTTATGGATTTTTGAAATTCTGAAATGTCAAATGTTTAATGTACAAACTTCAACAAAGGTCTTGCCCACCATTAAGTCATGAGGGCAAATTTAACCACAAAGTTAACCAATTCCACCTCTTCCAAATACCTTCCAAAAGAAATGAGGCAGCAGCAAAAGCAAATTTTTTTGATGAGATTTAACTGGTTTAGTTAGTTGGTACTGTCTTTTACCAGAGTGTATTCCAATGCGAATTGAAAGACTCTCAGTAGGCATATGGCGGATTCTGAAGACCTTGATGGCACTCAGGAAATGCAGAGCCATTGTAGATATTTCCAACGCGTGCTTATTGCCATTGCTGATAGGTAGACCACTGGCTACCATATATGCATCACCAATTGTTTCCACCTAGTAAAGAGAGAAAGAGAAAGTTTTACAGACAATTTTTAAAGTAATGATGATTTGAATAATGTTTTTTTTTTTATATTTTTAAACCAGCACAACTAAATTAAAACAATTTAAAAGGTGCAATGTGCAATTAAATTTAAAAAATCTTAAAAAGCATTTTAAGATTTAACATTTCACTTTTTTGGAAATGTGCCTGTTAGCTTTTTAGGTTAGGTTAGATTAATATTACTCTTGTGTCTGTATGGTAAATGTAAAGCTATCTATCTGCAGTAAAAATGAAACATATAACAGAGATATTCAAGTCACCAACAAACTAATGTCTCATCTAAAATGCATACTGCTGAAAGAGAATCAAAATCTGTTGTTTTGTCATACTTTGTAGACATCGTACATCTTGATTATGTCGTCAAAGAGGCTATAGAGGTCGTTCAGGAACGTGACCACCTCCATCGCAGAGCTGACAGAGCACATGGACGTAAAACCCACGATATCGGAGAAGAAAATGGTCACCATCTCGTAGCTTTGCGGCTCCACCGACTTCCCCGCCATTAGCTGATCAGCAATGTACCTACAACCATTGAGACAACAGCGCTGACAAGGTAAGGGTTTCGGATTCTACTCGCTTGTTGATGTAGTCATGGATGCCCATCTAACTGGTGGCACTGTGGTCATATTTTTTGAATGGGGTTAACATGAATTGCTTATTTCATCCATTTCATGACTGACAGCATTAGACAAAATATGATATTGATCATTTTGATGCAGTTACATCTGGTGGTACCTTGGTAACATGCTGGACAGAAGCTTGTCTGCTCGGGCCTTCTCTGCTGTGAGCTGATTGGTCCTCTCCTCCACCACCTCCTCCAAGTGATTTGCATATTTCTCCAACTTATCCACCATATTATCCAGTATATTTGCATGACTACAGTACAGAAAATCATGATCACCTCCGTTAAGGAGTTTCTGGTCGAGTTTGTTCATTAGTTTGCAGGAAATCTCAAAATTTTGGTAAATTTTGCTGAAATTCATTGGAAAGTAAATATTTGGGTCAAGGTACAAGTGATTATTTTTGGGGCCTAAATGAGAGACAGGGAGAACAATTTATTTTCTCACAGTATTTTGAGTCTTACCTGTCTGGGCTGGTGTCCTTCAGCTGTCTCCGTATCAACCCAAAAGGTGGTCGGTGATCAGGGTTTTCACTCCAGCAGACCCTCAGCAATGTGTTGATGTTGTCATCACACAGCTGCTCAGACAGCCCCGGTCGGAGGAGTTCCCCTTGGCAAGGCGTCCGCAACTGCCTAATAATCTCTGGAGAAAACATATAGCAAGAAGCAGGAATTGTTGTGTTAGAATTTGGGGATTTTGAGCTTAGATATTTTTAATCATGTTCTGTGGTAATGTTGGTCTGTAAGCCTGCTAAAGTAAGACTGAGAACATGGTAGACATTATGCTAGGCAGAATGTTTGCGCTTTCATTGTGATCATTTAGTACTAAAGCACATCTTTGTGGTTTTTTTGCATAGTGCAGCCAATCACTGGCTCCAGAAAAGCTTAGCTTGTACTGTTAGGCTACTGTTAATTCAGTCAATGCACATGGCAAATTTTAGAGGGAAGACGCAAAGAACTGTCTCCATGTGATGAAAATGTTTCAGCTTGGGGAAAAGTTGGTGTGTTACTCGTTCAGTCAGAGCTCTGTGAAAGCCTTGGCTGAATATAAACACAACCACACTCCTACAGACATGTCTGCTGTGTCTGTTGCTAACTAGCTTACAGCTATGATGTCGTTAGCTAACTTGGCAACATCCTTTGATACATTTTGCGCAATGAGGTAAGGTGAAAGTGCACTTCGCTCTCAGTCTGAGCACACCTTAAGTCCTTTTATTTCCTATTTTCAATTTAATGTAGTTTAACTTTATTTAATTTCCAGCCTCTTGTGTAACATTTTTGTGTCTTGCCTTTGTTTGGACTATTTTCAGTCAGTCAGGTAGATTTCAGACTAACTGTCCAGAGAGGTAAATTTAAATGTAATAGACTGATGATCTGACTTTGGTATTTCTGCCTCACCTTTGGGCTCCAGGTTGACGTCATAGTATGGGCCAGCCTTAGAGTTGTACATGAGTTCCCACATGATGATGGCAAAGCTGTAGACATCACCTTTGGGCGTCCCTTTGGCCGGGACACCAACTTGTCTCAGAAGCTCAGGGGCTGTCCAGTACATCTCTACAACAACAGTTAGGTTCTAATTACTTCAAACATTTTACTTCCTCGTGGTTTGATAATCATAAATGTAAATATATTTAAGATGAAATCTATATCACAATGTGAGTCCACACATTGACCTTCATAATTGGGGTTTTCCAGTGAGATTATTTTGTTTTTGAACTCCCACAGTCCGAAGCCAGAGAGTTTGATCTGGAGTCGACTATCCACCAGACATGTGTTTGGTTTCAGGTTCCCATGAAATTTCAGGTTACTCTTGTGAATGAACTCCATTCCCTAATTCACAAATAAACAGATTTAAACCATGAAAAGTTAGACATTATAATGTATTTTCATAATTTTGCCAAATAAAAGTCAAAAATCAGTCGTAGCCAATACAGTAACTGTAGTTTGTCTGTTTTAAGGGTCAGTAACCGAATTTCAGTTTAAAATTTTGGACATATTTTTTGCATTTTTGTTTTACACTGGATACAACAGGTCAACATCAAGACTTATGCCCCATTTCTAAAGTCCTGGTTACAGCCCCGTGTAGTTTTGTGAAACTTGTGAAACTGTATTAAACGATTTAGGTGTCTTTCCAA